CAGCCGTGTTGTACCATAAGTGAGATAACTTACAACAGTATATTGAAAAATATACAAAAACACTTCCTGGAAGCCCAGGTCACCTTCATGACGTCACTCAACTCCTTCTATACATATATCACTCATTCTGTTACACCACCATTCCCATATTACCCCTGAATAAATTATTTCCGATATTCTAATGTGTCTCTAAGAAAGAAAATAAAATTAAAAATACTGTCGCCTTTGAGTTTCTGAAGAGTGAATCTAACTGATCTCAGATTTATTTATCTTTGAAGTTTGATAATTTGGTGTCAATTACGTATCAATAATACTAAGACTTTCTACAATTGAATTTAAAATATTATCCCCTGATTTTACTTGTATTTTCCAGTAGACATTAAATGACAAAACGGAGATCACGAACATTAATGCCTCCTAGTGGCTCAGCGAAAAGTCTTTAAGCTACAAATCGGGCTTCGTTACACGCGGTAGGCACAGCACAGATAGCCTGTTGTGTAACTTTGTGCTTAACTACTAACAAAAACATTAATTTTTCTTAAGGTGTTATGAAACATCGATAGGCAAGTTAATTGTTTGATAATTTCTGTACTACAAGTGTTTTTTTTATTGGACTTTCATCGTCATGTTTCTTCATTGTCCGCATGAACTGGACAATTTCTGTAAATAATGTGACCATGAACTGGACAATTTCTGTAAGAAATGTGACCATGAACTGGGCAGTTTCTGTAAAGAATGTGACCATGAACTGGGCAATTTCTGTAAATAATGTGACCATGAACTGGACAATTTCTGTAAAGAATGTGACCATGAACTGGGCAGTTTCCGTAAAGAATGTGACCATGAACTGAACACTTTCTGTAAATAATGTGACCATGAACTGAACAGTTTCTGTAAATAATGTGACCATGAACTGGACAGTTTCTGTAAATAATGATACCATGAACTGGACAGTTTCTGTAAAGAATGTGACCATGAACTGAACAGTTTCTGTAAATAATGTGACCATGAACTGAACAGTTTCTGTAAATAATGTGACCATGAACTGGACAGTTTCTGTAAATAATGTTACCATGAACTAGACAGTTTCTGTAAATAATGTTACCATGAACTGGACAGTTTCTGTAAAGAATGTGACCATGAACTGGACAATTTCTGTAAAGAATATGACCATGAACTGAACAATTTCTATAAAGAATGTGACCATGAACTGAACAGTTTCTGTAAAGAATGTGACCATGAACTGGACAGTTTCTGTAAAGAATGTGACCATGAACTGGACAGTTTCTGTAAAGAATGTGACCATGAACTGGACAGTTTCTGTAAACAATAATACTGCTTTCTAAAGAACCTAACACTTCAATGTAAACGAGAGAGAAATCAACTGAAGTCTGCTAATTTTCTGTTAATTAGATAATTGAAGCTTGTTATTTACGTTAGTCTTAACTTTCGAGAGGGCTAGGCAGGTTATACAAGATTATGTGAAACGATAACACAGGCCTACGAATTTAAACTTCATAAAAGTTGTTTTGGTTTTAATAACGGATTTTCCATAACTCAGCTACGCAGATTTCGAAATTAACATTCATTTTTTTTCTATCACGTATCGATTTTTCAGAAATCGGGAAAAAACAAACTCTTACTTAAATCAAATTATTATTTTGTTTACCACAATGAACATTTTTTATTATTACGTTTGTTAACAAAAATACAAACAAACTGAAGAAAAGAGAAGAACATTGATGTCAATCGAATATGCATCCTCATTCATCCTGATTTGTTTTGTGAAATATACGTCTTTTAGTCTTAAAACCACGCGCTATGGTCTTTCTTTTAAGCGTTGCGTTATGACGTTTTGTGAAAAACCGGTACGTGATGGAGAAAAATGGATATCATTTTCGGATTCAGTGTACAGGAATTACTGTAGAACATGTAAACATTTCAAGACAATAAGGTTAGAGGTCAGTATTGGGTTAGAAGTCAGAATTAGGTTAGAGGTCAGTATATAGCTAGAGGTCAGCATTAGGTTAGAAGTCAGTATTAGGTTAGAGGTCAGTATTATGTTAGAGGTCAGTATTCAAATACTGAGAATATTGTTTTTAGTGACTTGGACTGAAAGGAGTATGGGGGTATTACACCCTGGCGTATTTCTCTTCATTTTAACAGACACTTCTCGATTTGGGAGCGTCTCCTAATTTGAAAGACAACCGTAAGCTGACCCCTCTTTATTATACTGTCATATGTGGATGCGATCCTCAGTTAACGGAGCTGCTTCTTCAAGAGTATGCAGTCCTTGGATCAGCTGATCATCAAGGTTGGCAAGAGGTTCATCAGGTTTGTTCACTTGAGTATGGAAGCATGCTTATAAATCGTTCTTTGCCAAGTTATTAAAAAGTTTGGTTACTTATCTGCTCTAAAGAAAGTATTGTTGAATGTTGTATCCTCGAAAACCACGCGACACCAATACCTCATACAATTAACTCCCTACAATTGGTCAAGCGGGACAGTCAGTGGTCGAAACAGTCGATCTTACCGTTAATGCCTAATGATGTTAAATATCATAATGTTTAATTTATTTCCCTCACAACTGTTTAGTTTAAACAATCCTAAAAGGAGATCCTTCTTGTAGTTTATAAAAGCCAGGCGTTTTTCCCAAGTTTTTAGTACCATGTTAAATGTAGAGATAATTCAATAAACGTATGCTAATTCCACATTACGTGCTATTTGAAGTAAGCGGTACTTTTAAGTTTTTCCTAAAACCTTGAATACATGAACAAGAACACTTGACAACATTTTTTTTTCCAGTTTGAAAAGGTAAGATAGGAGTAAATATTATCTAAGAGAAACGTATATACACGGGAACTTCTCTGTCGATGGGTTCACGAGGGTCAGAAAATCGGACAAGTAATAATAATGGAAATCATACTCTTATTTAAAGATTTAAATACATCGAAATTTTCCCAAATGTTTACTGTTGTAATAGCTAAGTGTTCTGGTCATTCATCAAACAAATAATCTCGCTTTCTTAACTGTACCTGGTGGTTAGAGCGCTGAACTCGCAAACTTCGGGTTATAGGTTCGAATCCCCGTCACCAAACATGCTCGATTTTCAGCCGTAGGGGCGTTATAATGTGACAGTCAATCCCACTATTCGTTGGTAGAAGAGTAGCCCAAGATTTGGCGGTGGGTGATGTCGACTAGCTGCCTTCCGGCTAGTTTATCACTGCTAAATTAGGGACAGCTAGCACAGTTAGCCCTCGTGTAGCTTTGCGCGAAATTCAAAACAAACCTTAATCGTGAGGGGACTCTAGATAATTGGTATTCACTGCTAGATTCATACATCTTTATTTTAGTATAAGTACGCTTTAAATGAAGTACGTGATATTATAAGGCAGATGGCAGCACTGTCTATGTAGGGATGACTCGGATTGTTCATCGAAATGGTATTTTAAATATCACTTCAATAGATCATCAGAACTTTACAATACTATACAGTGTTTTCTTTTATAACAATATCTATGTAATGACTGAGTCACAAGTTTTGGGAATGTCCGTAAATATCGTAGTAAAAAGTTTAAATTCCTTGTTCTTCTTTTTGTATTACATAACTTATAAACCAAAATAATGGTGTCCACCAATTTCACTGAGGTGACATAGTTTCAAACGGAGTATCCGCTTTTATAAGTATTATTAACCAGTAGTAATTTTTAAAAACACACATAATTCTAGTGTAAACGATCTTATCATTATCCCTTGAAGTTAGCTTAAGTACAGGATGAAACAGGAATTACCAGCCAGTAACAGATAAACAATAAATATTACAGTTGGAACCTTATTGTATTTAGAACTTGGTTATAAATACAACCTTGCTATGTCTATTGAAACACTACATTTAAAAACAACAACAAGCAAACAAGTAAAGAAAAAAACTTTTCAAAAAAGGAAGTAACTGTAGGGATAGCTAATATCAATCCTTCAAAAACAATGCAAACAAGATAGTAGGGATGGTATTTGCACCATCCCTACATAATAGCACAGGCAAGAATCAACATGTAGCAATATATACATATAAGTATTCAATCACAGTTGAGTTTAATTTATCCTATTTTTGTCTGTCAACATTCTACTACACTGTGTGCCTGTACTATTATGTAGGGATGATGCAAATACCATCTCGACTATCTTGTTTGCATCGTTTTGAAGGATTGATATTAGCCATCCCTACATTTTTTTCCCCTCTTTTTGAAAAGTCATTTTCAATTGATTTCAATTAATTGATTAATTCAACGTATAATTAAAACTGTAAAACATTGTTGCATCTCATATGCCGGTCTTTATAAGTAATGTTATAAATGGGGATGTGGGCCGTCCCTTCCACTACTTGGGGTCGTAGCACACGACCCATTCATCGTTTGATACAAAGGTATTCGTGGCATCAAACGTCAATTTCGTTTGACTTCCTCGCTCTCGGTGGAACCCTCATTCGCAACGTTTAGGCGGTAACTTTCAATCTTAGTTCCCTCCGAGATATCATAAAAAAAAAGGTCTACACTGAACCTGACCCTCCCTAATATCAAAACACGGACCGGATCCCGATGAAGAAGAAGATCATTAGAATTAATTTAGCCGGTTCTTCACAATAAGTTCGAATCCCCGTCACGTCAAACATGCTCGCCCTTTCAGCCGTGGGGGCGATATAATGTGATGGTCAATCCCACTATTCGTTGGTAAAGGAGTAGCCCAAGAGTTGGCGGTGGGTGGTGATGACTAGCTGCCTTCCCTCTAGTCTTACACTGCTAAATTAGAGATGGCTAGCACTGATAGCTATTGTGCATTTTTGTACAAAATTCAAAACAAACAAACAAATCGAACACATGAAAGCATTATTAATCACTTGTTTTCCGTTAGGCTTGTAAACACGGCAGAGTCCAGCACTTGGAACTGTTGTTGTTCTACGGTGCCGATCCCAACAGTCGGAACGCGAGTGGAAACACCCCGCTCCACATCTGTGCTGTAAACGAACAGAAACAGTGTGCCAAGGTGTTGCTTTCTCGGGGTGTAGATAAGAATGCTATGAACTACGCCAATCAGGACCCTTACCAGGTTGCTGTGATAGCAGGGAACCTCCAGATGGCAGAAATGATCAAGAACCACAAAGTGAATGACGTAGGTAGGTTCTCACAGAAATCTTTGTACTTTGAGCACTTAAAAAAATCACTCGAGTAAGATCTGTTCTTTGTCTCGAAATTTCCCGCAGTTGAAGGACCTAAAATTTGTAATGATAATCACCAGATTAACGTGTCGGGCTGCGGATCGTAAAGCCCAAAGTCCGCGTCGCCATGCCATTAAACACGCTCCACATTTTCAGCTTTAAAAGAGTGACAGTCAATTCTATTATTCGGTTCAAAGCCCTTGTTGCGGTGGGTGCTTTCGTTCTTGTCAGTAGTTCCAAATGGAGGTCAGTTATACCTGAGCTCTAGAGGTCAGTGATATGACCTTTTGACACATGTGTGCAGTAGATGCGATTGAGGTTGAAAATACCAGTAAATCATTCACTTAAAGCCGAATCAGCTTTATTTGTTTTAATATAAACGCATTTCCACGTCAAAAAAAACAAACAAACAACAACTTAAATCTTATGTATAGTTGTCAACTGGTATGTTACGTTTAAAAGGCGTTATTGAGAAGGCTTAAAGAGTAGGTGTAATGGGGTTAATTACTTTTTTTACTACTGCATAATTTCGTTTGTATAATACTATAAAGTGATAGGTCGGTTGTTGAGAAATATTGTACTTTGCACTGATTGTTTTTTTTTCGCCAGTGTTAAAAGAAAAAAAGAGCAAAGATAGGGAATAGTGATGGAAATATGAGCCTTCACGACATCACTGATGAAACCAATTCGTTAACACAGTGAGAACACTTATAATGGAGAACAAAGAGATAGCACTAAACACACGTAATGAAGAACAAATAGGTATCATTATAACGCGTTAACTTGTGTCGGGACTCATCAAAAGGATTTGGTGTGGCCCAGTGGTTAGTGTGCCAGGCTGAGGAATGCAGGGCCCAATTTCCATTTATGTACTACAGGTTACATGCAAAAGATGAAGTTCTGTGAATGATGGGCCCCGGCATGGCCTGGTGGTTAGGACGTTAGACTCGCAATCTCAGGGTCCCGGGCTCGAATCCCCATCCCACCAAACATTCTCGCCCTTTCAGCCGTAGGGCGTTATAATGTTAAGATCAATCCACCTAATCGTTGGTAAAAGAGTTGGCGGTAGGTGGTGATGGCTAGCTGCCTTCCCTCTAGTCTTTCACTTCTAAATTAGGAACGGCTAGCGCAGATAGCCCTCGTGTAGCTTTGCGCGATATTAAAAAACAAACCAATCCAAAACAAACTGTGCATGATGAATCGGATATTCAAAACAAACCAAAACCAAAACAAATTGTGCGTGATGAATCGGATATTCAAAACAAACCAAAACCAAAACAAATTGTGCGTGATGAATCGGGTTTGAGAATAAGTAACTTTTCGAGGCTATGTTTTATTCAGTTCCATACAGAGAGACACCCCGATTCAACACCAGAGGACGGCCGAGCAGTGCAGTTCGAGGTCCCGAGGATGATCAGAGTGGTCACGGGGCTGAGTTCTTCTCGCCCTTTGTATTGCCTTCATCAGAAAGTACCATTTCAAGTAAAACTTCTGGTAAGGAGACTGGGGCAGAAAAAAAATCAAAAGGTGAGTTTGGCTAAGAAGAAATCAATCAGTTGTAAAATCATCTAATAAAAAATAAAGTATTCAAACCAGCCTTAATATTAAACTATTAATAAAATGGTATTCAACTTGAGTTTACTGATTAGCAACTCGGGAATTAATTATACCATTTTTTTTCTTAATTATTAAATGCTTTATGCTTATATTCTTTAGACCAACATCTTACTGCATAATGAGAAGGTAACAACCTGAAAAGGATGTAGTTTTAGTTAAAAGAACTAAAACCTGTGATGTTCCCTCCTTTTTTCTCTCGCTATTTCACTGTTTTGTTAACGCATAAAACACTAGTAATCTTGTATTAAGATACTAGACGTACTTATTGACGCCCTATACTAGATGTACTTAATGACGCCCTATTCTAAATGTACTTAATGATGCTCTATACTAGATATACTTCCACAGGGTGCCCGAAAATGTTCTGTTTCAAGAATAAATAAAATCAAAATTAAGAGTAACAAATATTTTTATTTCTTGCTGTTAAATGTTCCTTGTGTAAGGTCATTTTAGTGTCTACTGACTGACTGACAGTACAGCACGTCACGACAGTACAAACTGCAGCGTTAAGCGT